TTAAATATGACTGCAGAACAACGGGAATCAAACGTTGTCTTCCGGTGAGATCAACCAACAAACCTCTTCATGAAGCACCTTTATACAAAATAAAATTCTCCAGACAGTCAAAGAAACCCAGCTACTCTTCGTATCAAGCCACGGCGATAACTTGCCTGATCTCCTTGCAGATAATGCAGTTGTCATGCGTGCATTGAAATTTCTATTTACACTGCAGTTAAGGTGCGTATAGCCAAAAAACTCCGTATCTGACTTGTATATGCTATACACCCTATGTGGTTTAAGGTGATGAAGGGCGCCGGTAATTGAATTTTTCCACAATGATATGAATAGGCCTTACGTTTTCATTTAATTTCACATACTCATATCATAGTGGGATAAATCAACTACCAGTAGCTCATAACCTTAGACGAAATAGGGTGGATACAGCTCTTATATATGATATACTGGGAGTATGAAAAACCTCTTGTGATTTGAGTCTTTAAAGAGGACAAGGTTGCCCTGTTTCAGCCCTCTTTCATCGCTATCCTCCTGCCCATCCATCTTCATCACGGACACACATGCAAACTTCATCTGTATGACAATCAACTAGCTTTGTACATCTTCTGATACCAAAACAACTTTAATACTGCATTCTTCTGTCATCTATCTTCAGTATCGGTCTGAGAGCAGGTTCTAATGTGCTACTTGTTTAACAGGAGTTGGATTATTTCAATATCTACAGCAGATCAAGCAGCCATCGAACAAGCAATAGATTTGGAGTAAATGTCAAGGCAGATTGAAGAGATCACCCTCTAGGCAGACCTGGTTCTGTAACATTATGTGAGAATTGTTGGGCTAATTACTAGAGTAAGTCAAACGGCCACACGCTAACACTTGACCATAGAGCGGAGTTGACTTTCAAGGCAAGCCAAGCCTTCAAATATGTCTACTTTTTTGTGACAATTATATCGACAAGACAAATTCGTTGATAGCATTAAACCTAAAAATGCTACTAAAGACACAATGAGCACTTTTTAAACCATCAGTAGATCAAAGAAAAAACTAATATCGCCTTACATCGAATTTGGTGATGAAATAACTGACATTTAAGTTGCCCTAAGGCGAAATGGTTTCTGCACAAATTAACTAGAAGTTTCGTACATTACTGAATCTCGCCTCATCATCGCATAGTCTCCAGGTTGCTAATAGTGTAGAGCAGCAAAATGAAAGCATAGTCTGAAGGTAGGGATTAAAAGGGAGCCTACAGCTGAGGACTAAAAATGTCTGTTTAATTATCTCATTTATGAAGAAAAAGGGGATTCAAGCAGGAGAATGTTGTGAATTAAGAAATCATATTGTTTCAATTTATCTTCTTAGT